CTAGTCTTCTGTCTCAGCAGTGCCTCACGTGACTTCTGCTGCTCCAGAAAGACACAGATGACCTACAGCAGATGTACATCAGCAGCTACACATGTCTGTATAAGGACCTCAATCCTGTTCTAAATGTTGCCCTTAAGAATATAAGAGTCTTTAATACATAGGTCTGCAAGCAGCCTTGTCTGTTGCTTTGTTTGTCCACAGGACTTCTTGTGAACAGATCTTTCTGTCTTGAAGCTTAAAATGTGCTTTACCTCCACAGATGTCTGTGAAAGATGATGCAGCCGTATACTTACATGATAGATGATGTCTCTTTTCCTTTCAGGTGAATTATACAGAGCCTCTTTAAGAAAACAAACGTTCCCGGCACAAGGCAGTATTGAAATACATGAAGACAATGAGGTGAGATTGTTTCCCAAAACAAGCTGTGTTGATCTCCAGGGAGAAGACATGGAAATATTCTCATGTTGTATTATGGCATTATAAACTCATTTGGTGGCTTAGTGTGTCTTTCCCTTGTTTAATAGGTGCCTATGCAATCACTGAAAATCATCACAAGCTTTTTAGACATTGCATAATTATGTGGAAATATGACCCAGTTCTCTGAAGAACAGTTGTGACATCTACTTAGTTCTAAAGTGAAAATGTAAGTTTTGGGAAGCAGATTAAGCAGCACTCATTGATAGTAATAGAATTGCTTTTTTTTTTAGAAGCAGGAAAGGATCTAAACATGTTGCTTTCCTTCCAGTTAACTGATTTAGGCCCTCTGTCCACATGTAGGGCAGACAACAGAAATGACTACTTTTACATTTTTGAAGAATTCCAGTCATACAGCCCTGTTAAAATGATCACTCTTAGATTGACTTCAGATGTCCTCTTTGTTAGCCGTTGAGCCCCATGTCTCAGTCATGGCTGAACTACTGCTGAGAGGCAAATTAATTTCATTCCCTTTGAGTCCTTCTGTGAAGGCTGCAAGTCAAATCCAGCTGAGAGACTTTCTGTAACAGTGACTTTAGCAATGTCGACCCACTTGGTTTTTTCCATCTGTTCTGAAGCTTTCAGTTCCACCATCAGCAGTGCCACTTATTTAGAAGCTGGCATTAGCTGTGGAAGGAGCTACTTTTAGCTTTTAAAGGGAATTAAACGTCTCTTCTAAATAACTGGAATGCGATCATATGGAGAGGATATTATAAATTAGAGCAAGGAAAGGCGGAACCTTAAAAATTCTGAAAGGACACAGTACTTAAACAGATACAAGGTAGGTCAGCAAAATGCCTTCACAGTGAATACTTCTACTGGATACTAAAAATGAAGGGCTAAACAGAGGTAGTGGCATTATGGGAAAACTTACTCTCATTTTGCACCATTTCTCTGTCACCATTTTATAGGCGCTCAAGTTACAAATTTCTTTGTCTTATCCATGTCAACATTTCCACCCCATACCCCTCACAACACTACAGCCTGAAACGTGTGTGTGTATGTGTTTATTTACTTGTCAGATTTTCTGATTAATGTTGTTCGTGTTAAACTCGGAGTGATTCTCCTCCTTTTATATTTAATGTTGAAGACTGTCTTTCATTTCAGAACTTAAGAATGAAGTGTCCAGAACATTACCTGATCCTCAGTAAATCACCCAGTCAAGCAATTAACAACCCTCATACAAATACAAGGAATGTTATGATTATTTTTATTGTATGTTCGTATTTGGTCAGGAACTAGAAGACTCCAGGAATCATGTGATCCAAAGTGAAGAAGAAAATGGCAGTCAAGATTTTAAAAGAAAAATAGCCTTATCATTTAATGTGTTACTGAGTCCTTCTTTGGGTGCACGTAACTCTCAGGGGTAAAGAAGAAAAAACATTGGAGCTGTGAGACATTAAAAATGTTTTTCCAGTCTGAGTAGATCCCATCTTGTTTATTCCATGGAGCACACCTGCCACTGTCCGTGTAGGCACATATTCCCATATTCGTAATGGTTTTGTGAGATTTGTGGGTATCAGCAATGATACATTTTTTACCTCTTCAGTAAGTGTCTGGGTAAGTTAGCCCCATTTTTCATTTTATTAAGAAGTTGTTACTGTCAAAAGCCTGAGATAACTGTATCATCTGCTTTTGCTGGATGTTTCCACTGGCAGAGAAATCTGTCTTTTTAAAGTCCTGGTGATTTGAGTTAGAACCTTTCCAGTGACTGCAGCAGCCTTGTTCAGGACACCTAGACAGGTCTTCGCTTAGACTGTCTGTGAGTGTTGAAATTCCTCTCCAGTCTCAGTATATTTAAAACAGCTTTTGATGGACACAAAGCTGTTTATAATCTTTGTTGATCTGGAACCTACATCTGTGCTGCAAGAGTTTTCCAGCAGAGCATAGTGTGCTCTGCCTGGCTCAGACATACTTCTATGAAATGGAACACGGGGCACACACATACACACACAGAGCCCCAGTAGTGGCAGCAAATATCTCAAAAAGATCACAGTGAGGGTGGGAGAAAATTCACTGCTGTTTGTGAATGTTGACACCAAGTATACGAACACTGTCCATGAAAATGCTTTTTCCCTTCTTATTCCCTGTTTTTCCCACAGGAAGGAGTTCAAAACCAGAACTGCAGAACTCATGTGCTTATTTTGATCCTGCATGGGGGGAACATCTTAGACACTGGAGGTGGAGACCACAGCAGCAAGCTGGCAGACATCAATACCTTCAGTTCTGTGTTTGAGAATGTGACCCGAGCCCATTTCCCTGCTGCTTTAGGTCACATCTTAATCAGACTTGTTCCCTGCCCTGCAATCTGTTCAGCAGCTTTCTCTCTTGTTTCCAAGTAAGTTGATTTGTGATGTCTGATGTCAGTGTTTGCAGCATGGTTTTGAATGGTTTTCTGTGACCTGCATTTTTCATAATGAAATATTGCGAATCCTTCGTAATCTTTTGCTTACTCCAAGGCTTGGAAGAATCTTTCATGTGTTTCTAAGTGGATGTACTTGTTTAAAACAAACAACCAAAAAACCAAACAAACAACCAAAAAAAACCCAACCCAACCCAAACAAACAAAAACAAAACACCAAGACAAAACCCATGATGGAATACAGCCTATTGTCCACATGCATTCAAAAGAAAAAAAAAACTAGCTGATATCTGGACAGAAGAAAACTGTAGTAACTGTTAACTTTTCCTCCTCCACCCTACAAATCTTTCCCAAACAAATCAGTAGTCATCTTCTATCTTATTTTAAAACTGAAACGTAGCTAGATCTGCCTGTGTATATGCCAGCTGACATTTGTCTATCTTACCTGTTTATTTGGCTATTTGTGGGCAGGATTTTATAGAAAACGCTCCTAATAGTTTCAGTGTTTCCTAGTTTAGAAACAAAAATGGCATAAGTGGAGATTGTGAAACATTGCTGAGGAACTTAGATCAATTTATGTAAATTCTGCACTGGAAATTGAGAACAAAATGAAATATATAAACCAAGAGTGATTTAACATGTCTTGGTGAGAAAGAATTTACATAGGAACATGGGCTTTGCATTTTAAGGCAAAAAAACTTTGCTGTCCATGCCAAATGGCAGCTGCTGCACTCTCAGGTCCTGTAGTGTTTTGTGGTAGACCACTCATTTAATCATCATTAACCTATAACTTATGAGAATGACATATACAGAAGTGTCTTGAATGAGCCATCTCTGGGAAACACTGCTTTTGGCTAATGAAGGCTTCAGTTCACAGTACAACTAGGATTTGGTTTCATGCTCCCATCTTTCTTCCATCACTTTCAGTTTCCTGTATTATCTCATATCAATCAGAAAGACATTTGTTGATGCAGCATGTGACTGATCCCTGTCTTTGCCACTAAGGACAGATAAGGGTTAGAACTAAGGTGCAGCTAGATGACTTGAGAACCATCTCCTCCCTTTTCAAAGAGAAAAATATTCCAGAGTGGATCAACTGTTAGGCTTTTTATAGCAGCATATGACTTGATGAGTGTACGTTGAGTCACACCTCTGACTAGAGCTCCTAAATTACAGTATTAGCCAAACTGGCAAATACTAATTGCAAATTGGGGGCAGAGGGGGAATTGAAAGGAGGGGAAAAAGGCTAGAACAGAAGTTACATTTAGGAAGCTAACACTTCAGTAGGAAAGTAAGCATATGAATAATCAGATGAGATGAGAGTGTTTTGCTGGTTGCTTTTTGGAGTGTTTAGTTCCTTGCATGCTCCTTGTGCATTGGTGGGTTCTGCAGTGTAAGCTCTCGATGTTGCATTTTCCTAATCAATTTTTTTAAATACTTTTGTAATATAATAGGAAACTGTATGAAGTCTGTATATAATTTGAGTATTTTCTATTCCTTGTTTTTCTTTTATCATGAAAGTGGAGGAAGTAAAAGTATATTCTGGCATTCAGAAACATCAACAGCAAGTCCCTAGGACTGTCAACATGGCATGGAGATAGCCAAACCACAAACATCAAAAAAATGTTGTGTGACAGTTATGCAAGTGTTACCATATGGGTGATTTCCCCCTCTACTTTCTCCTCTCACCTCTGCCATGGTCAAAGACTGCTGACCTAAGGAAATGTTGAGGTGGTACCAGTGTTCTGACTTGATCCACATCTAGCCAGATGCTATCTGCATTCAGATTAAGCTTTTATTCTCTTGCTCCTCCTTACCTCCCACCCTAGTTTAAATAACTCCTCGCCCCCCATCTCCACAGTGCAGTCTCAGTTGTCCCTACTGGCAGATTCCACTTGCCATCTATCACTTCTCCCCAGTGACCCAGGTGTACTCTTACACACCATGGAAGACTGATTCCGTCTTGCAGCCTAGTTGTTTGCTGCCTTTTGTCAGGGAGGTGTTAGGTTCTAACTCACAGATCACAGAATGTCAGGGGTTGGAAGGGACCTCCAGAGACCATTGAGTCCAACCCCCCTGCCAGAGCAGGACCATCTAGTCCAGGGCAGGTCACACAAGGATGCATCCAGACGGGTCTGAAAAGTCTCCAAGGAAGGAGACTCCACAACCTCCCTGGGGAGCCTGTTCCAATGCTCTGGAACCCTGACAGTAAAGAAGTTCTTCCTCCTGTTGAGGTGGACCTTCCTGTGCTCCAGCTTGCATCCATTGCTCCTTCTCCTATCGCAGGGCATAAGTGAGAAGAGATTGCCCTTTTCTTCTTGACATCCAGCCCTCATCTATTTATACACATTAATTAGGTCCCCCTAAGCCTTCTCTCCTCCATACTAAATGTTGTTTGCATTTTACTTCTATTATGAAAACACATGCAGGTATTTTTTTTTCATTTCAAACATTCACTTAATATTTTTTTTTCTCCTGTGTTTTTCCCTTTCTGAGGGGTTATCTACCAATTATTGTAGTAAATGAGATCATTTTATGTAGTTTTAAGGTTCATTTCTCATTTTTGAGAGTTGGTATTCATAACTGTATGTCTGCTGTGCCTTTGGGTGATCTAATCACTGGCAAAATGAAGCTGTATAAATTGGTAAATGGACACAGCTTGGCAGACCAGCTGAGCTCCAGGACATGGAAATTTATACCTTAGGTGAAAAATACTAAAGCACTGGAGTGCTTCAGCAAGAGACAAGTGAAGAAAGCTGACGCTCAGGACATGAACAAAGACCAGCTTCCATACTTCAGTGTTGCAAACCTTCTGTACTTCTTCCATTACCCTGGTAATAGTCTCAAGGATGCAGATTTTAGCAAAGACATAGACTAATGTCATTTCAGGCAACTTGCTTTTTAACACTGTGATAGCCCACCAAATTCATAAATGAAAGTGAGTACAAAATAGTGTTGAAGTTGTCTGCCCGCTGCTTTGGCTGAGCTGAGTTATCCAAAGTACTTCTGACCTTCCTTTAATCTCTAAAGGACAGTCAGCTTTACTATGAGAGAATCTGGCACACACCAATGTGCCTTATACCTTTGGCTCTCTGTTAATTGTTTTCTCCACTCATCAATAAAAATCAGGCTAGACAAAACTGGCAGATTTACTGAGAAACTTGCAAGATGCACATCCAAGCTAAAACAAAGCTGACACCCTATCAAATTGAAGCTTGCATTTTCAGTTGAGTCACATCCTTTTTTTAAAATGTTACTATGCAAACATTGATATGTATGATTTCAGAATGTGTGACGCTTTGTTCCATCTTTTTGAAAGTATGGAACACTGGGAAAAATGTTTTTAAGTGCTTTTGAACAACACATCCATCACACTTGTTCTAGGAAACAGTGTTCCATTTGTGATGGTGGGATCCTTTTCTTTGATGTATTAAGTTGTTATATATATATATAAAAGATGAAACAGGAGAATCATAGAATGTCTGGGCTGGAAGGGACCTCCAAAGGTCATCTAGTCCAACCCCCCTGCCATAGGCAGGGGAAACTCCAAATAGAACAAACTACTCAAAGCATTCTCATCTTGAATGTCTCCAGGGATGGGGCCTCCACCACCTGTCTGGGCAGCCTGTTCCAGGGATCTATCACCTTCATATTGAAGAATTTTTTCCTAATGTCTAACCTAAGTCTCCACTTTTCTAGCTTAAAGCCATTACCACTCATCCTGTCACTCCAAACCCTTGTGAACAGTCCATCCCCTGCTTTCTTGTAGCCCCTCTCAGGCACTGGAAGGTCACTCTAAGGTCCCCCCGGAGCCTCCTTTTCTCCAGGTTGAACAGCCCCAACTCCCCCAGCCTGTCCTCACAGCAGAGCTGCTCCAGCCCTCACAGCATTTTTGTGTCTCCTCTGAACATGTTCCAACAGCTCCATGTCCTTCTTGTGCTGGGGGCTGCAGAGCTGGACACAGACTCCAGAGGAGGTCTCCCCAGGGCAGAGCAGAGGGGCAGGCTCACCTCTCTTGATTTGCTGGCCACATCTCTTTGATGTTCTGAATTATGTCTGTCTTGTATGTGCAAAAATTGTGCCACACGTTTAACTATAGAAATGCCTTTTAGCATGATTGCATTCACATAAAGCAGTAACTCAGTGATATTTTAAGCAGCTGAATGCTGTGAGAAAATGTTCCTTCCTGTATTCTCTCATTGCGAACTGCAATAGCCCAAACAATTTCTGTTAATAACTAACTGTTCATCCTCTCATGCTGTCTGCTGCCACTTGCATTTTTTCTCACGATAGCATGTCTTTCTCTAGCCTAAATCCCTACAGCTATGATGAGAGCTGTCTCAGCAGCAGTGAAGACCACATCCCACTGGCTGCCTTGCCCTTGCTGGCTGTTTCATCCCCTCAGTACCAGGACGCAGTTGCCATGGTGATCAGTAAAGCAAATCAAGTTTACAATGAATTTCTCAAGTCTACTGATGGGGCTGGTTTTAATGGACAGGTAGGACTATTTTCTCTTACATGAAAGTAAAATTCCTTTGGAGCAAGGCTGTTTCTTTTCAAGCCATTCTGTTTTGGCAGGAGGGATTTGAGTTATGATTGTGGGACAATACTGTAAATATGGTGAATGAATGCGAGCATGGGATTACCTATATAAAATGCCTTCTCAGTGCCCAGCATGAGAAGGACACTTCAGGAATCTTCTGCCATATCTAACCTGGACTTGCTCAGTTGGTAGAAGACACTATACCTTCTCCCACAAGCATTTTGACAGCGCAGCTCTTACTAGGTATTGCTGCAAACTCTGTTAGTGTGTAAGAGGCTTAGTTGTGTGGTGGATGTGCTAAGCTGTGAACAAGCATGCCAACCCAAGTCAAGTGATAATACATGCTACTGAGTTCCTCACACACCTGCTGTAGCTAATAGAAAATCTAGGATATCTCTGACTAAGAGCATAAAGAATACGACATTTAACTATTGCTATTTCTTTTTTGCCTGCATCACAGTAGTAAGAAAACAATTGACAGTAAAGAAACTTAGAGGACAAAAACTCATTTGCCAGCAGTGTTGCAGATTTTTCCCTACCTGCATCTTGAACCCACTCACCTTTCCTTCACTTTGAATGTGCCATGCATAACATCCTGTTATCCAAAACCTGTACTTTAGTGTTGTAGCCAAGCTGAATTAAGGCCAGAAGCAAGTTAAGGTTTGGAAGGAGAGGTAATGTCTTCTGTTAAACTGATTGGAGTTGGGAAAGGTAATACAGCTATTACTCATCCTCAGACACAGGAAGAGAGTCATGGATAAATAATTATCTCCTATGGGATGGGGAAGAGTTCAGTGGAATTGGTTTGTGAGGTAAATTCTAGTGTGACATAAATTGCCCTAACAATTGAATTCCCAATTTTAGTATTCAATGTATTTTAATTCCCAGGTCTGTACTTGGAAGGTAGCGTGGATGTTTATGTTAAATGTGAAGCAAGAGTGAATCTGTCTGCTTAATACTTCACTGGAAAGTTCCATGCCCTTTTGCTCCCAGGGGAGTACCAATCTGTTTTTAATCTGTTGAGATCCTCTTCCCTATATGATTCTGGAGGGAAAGTTAACTGTCTTGAAATGTGTGTGAGACCGATTGTCCAGTAACCTGGACTTTATGAGCGGGAATCTATCTGCAAGCACCTGGAAGAATTCCAGCCCATTTGGAAGAACTTCCAGCTGGTCAAAATAGTGCTTAGGACAGATATTCTTGGTATAGGGTATATGTCTGGAGATAAAAGGAAGTGGGAGAAAATGGCTATGCATCTTCAGCTGCAATAGGAACAAAGGTGTAGAAGGACAAGGATATATAAAGTGAGACAGCTGCTCCTATGTAGTGCTGTAGTGATGTTTGTTTCTTTTAAAACACTTGTTACATCTTCCCAAAAAAATATTTTTATTTCTTCAGGTGTGTCTCATCGGTGACTGCATTGGAGGAATTTTGGGCTTTGATGCCATCTGCTATAATTCTAACACAGCTGACGAGAGCCGGAACAGTAGCAGGAGAGGCAGCATCAGCAGCATTCAGGTGAGAAGAAAAAATCCACACAGCTGAAACCCTATACAATCATTCCCTGGAGGAAATCAGTTTTATATAAATCAGAGAAAATGTAAAGGTTTGGCAAATTCCCATGATAGCACAGGATTTCGCTTATATATTAAAAAATTCTCTCTGAAAATTTAAGTCTGGAGCTTTAGTTTTATGATATACAGAAATCACTGGTAAAGGCTTTATCTACAAATATTTGAAGTAGAGCTATGAAGAGCCATTCATTATATCCACAACTGTAGATGCAAGCATGTCCTCTCTCAGTAATCTCTGGCAGATTCCTGTTTTTGCCAAAATCGTTTATCTTTCATTTTATTTTTTTTTTATTTGTTCACATATGGTCTAGAATTCCTTCTGCTACTGCCTGGCAGTAGCCTAGCATTAAGATGTGTTCATGAATAAGTTTTAGTGCCTCCTTCTTGGTAAGAAATGCAAGAAAGGCCTCACCTGAGGACTGTGAATGAACCACTGAGCATAACAGTGTCTATGTGAGTGCTGTGTTTGGAGGGAAGGGAGGATTAATTCCATGAGCCACAATATATTTTATGGCAGTAAAAGCACAATTTTTTAAAGTGGTCCTAACATGTAAACTTCATTATTGTCTTCAACACTTAAGAAAGAAAAATGAAATTCAACTGATCTTATGTACTTCATACTCAAGTGGATATGGAGAGAGGGTGTCCCGTGTGCTAGACATGGCACTGAGTGAGCTGCCTACATCCCAGTCTTTGATGGTTTTTTGACCCTGGGCAAAATGTTTCATCTTTTGACTCTTTAGTTACCTTTCTCCTCAAAAATGGGCTCAGTGATACCTGAACCTGCTTGGTTGAGTTGAGAGCTACATGTGACGGGAGTACTCTGGAGCAAAGAGACATCTTTTGAATGTTTCCAGCAAGTATTACTCACCATTGATAACGTGGCTCTGGATTCTCAGCAGGCAGTAACAGCATTGAGGACAGTGCATTGCAAGCAAAGCAAATGGAGAAATGGTCCTCCTGCACCCCAGTCCTACACTGGGGTTTATTGTTCAAGGGCTGCTGGTGAATTTGGGAGTCAAGGTCACACTTTAGGGAGCATAGGTTCTTTTGACTTCCATGATCTTATAGTTTCAACTTTCCTGAACTCCTTTTTTTCCTTATACCACAGAGCTTCCCTTCCTGTTCTTCTCTCCATCTCTGCCCTTTTCTCCTCCTCATCTTTACTACTCTGTGTGCTCAGAAGAACTAAGTACTCTTAATCCCTTATCTTGGCTTTCTGTCCATTGTTCTCGCCTCGCTCCTGTGAAACACATTCAGGAGGACTCTCTTTTGAAATGTTTTCCAGCCCCACCCCATCCTTCCATGCTGTCTCCTGTAGAAATAAAACTCACTGGAGGAGTCTGAGACGCAGAAACATAAGAGAGATTATTACTTTACCATTTCACAAATGTCAGGGGCATTTGTGAAATTAATTGGAAATAAGGATAAGATGGAGGTGCTCACAACCACGGCATATTATGTTCTGATTATAAACCGTGAAAACAGACTGAAGTACATTTAGATAGTTCCCTTCTTATTCTGCTTATTTCAAAGTGGTCTATAGTAATAAGCTAGATTGGTGATTCAGTAACCATTAAATTCTCTGAATAGTTCAGTTCTAGGCACTAGAAACTTCATTTGGAGAGAGAGAGCCTGTTAATTTAATGAGGCAATGTAAATAAGGAATTAGAATGGTAAACTCTTCTACTACCCTAGGTGAGTATTTGTTGGTTTGTGTGTTGTAGTCTGATTTCTGTATTTCCGTTTTCACTATACACTAAATAATCAAGACAGAAATATCCATAATAGCTAGTGACTTCTACAGTATAGGCAGAAATGTCAATAATCACTGAGATCATAGTGATTATTGCATGTACATGCTTGTACAGGACAGTATTTGAAAATTTACCCGCTAGTTCAAGAAAGGAATCTGCAGTAGAGCAAATGTCACTCTGCTTAGACCAGACTGGTAACTCTTGCTCTTTAAAAATCAGTTACATCTGTAAATGTCAAAATATTTAACACAGAAAGCTAGTGTTGTCATCATCATCTTCATATCACTCCTTGGGTTATTAAAGGACAGAAGGTGAAGGGAACTTGGTCCAACATCAGAAGCAGAAATCCAAAGTCTTATATTAGCAGTCATTACTTAATTGGGAATGCTGTCTCTTAGAAGAGGGATTTGGTTCTTTTTCATTGCAACAGTTAAAATGCTCATAATTCAGAAGTATGACAACTCTTCATTAGGACAAATGGAGAAAGTTGACCATTTTCTTCACATAGATGAAGGATAAATAAAAGCCACCTGTGGGTCACTAATTCAAATCCTTGTATCGATACCACTTTACTGCAGATGGGGTTTTAATTGTGGCATGTGGGGGAGTTGACAGAGCTTATAGCAATACAAAACAAGCTTTTTAACTGTTTAAAATGCAGGGAATAGTCTCTATATTGGTCAATTCAACATTCTTCTAATGTGTTTCCTAATGTCTTTTTAAATGGCTTAGTGTATTTTTTGGAACTGTATCTCACTCCCTGATCTGGCTACTATAAATGCTTAGTCTCTTTTGCAGTATGCAAGAAAGACTGTGTCATGAAAGTGAACCTAAATATTCAACCAGTGAGACTGAAATCTGGCCAGGTTTTTTGAATAGGTTTGAATATGGGATTTTTTTAATAAGAGGGTTTTTTTTTTTTTTTTAAATGTATCAGACTACTATAATTTGAACAGTTTCTCTTCATCATGATGCAGCAGTATACAGACATTTTGGTACACTCCTACCAGCTGATGTAAATTTCACCATTCAGATGCAGCGAAGGCTCAGATGGTTTAGACAAGTTGATTTCTCAGTGATAGTTCTTCTCACCAAATAACCTTCTCTCTCTGTGAAATGGTTGTCACGTTTTCCCTACTGAATGGCTGTTCAGTATCGTGTAAAATTAATTTGGTGCCTGTTCAGTCCCCAGGGGACTATCACGTGAACAGATTGTTTGTGGGATAAAAGCTATCTCCAGAACTGGCACTAACTATCGTTCCCAGGTTCCCTGTTCTTGGGAGTTAGACTAGATATTCACTTGTCACAGAAACCAAGAGGTCCTCTTGACTATTGAAGTCTGTAGGTGGAACAGTGTGGGAAGGTTAGCCTCACAGTCTGCTGCTTTTGTCTTGTTTTCATTTGCCTGCAACTCATCTGCATAATTCTGAAGAATAGATTAGGTTCTTCAACATTGCTTCTTGACATGAAATCTCACCACACATGCACAGGGGTGCTAATATACTCAAGTGCTGTGAGGTTATGGGAAATACCCGCCCAATGAACTTGTTCTTTCTGTAGCTTTAGAGAAATAGATTGAATTGGCATGTTTTCCATAGTCCCTCTGCCTGACTTTGGCCAAGTCTCTTATCTATGATGCCTTAGTTCTCATCAGTAAACCTTGCACTCTCTCATATCCTTTGTTTTGTCTAGTTGGATTTTACACTCTGCAAGTTGCTTAAAAATATTGAGCATGATAAAATCTATTTTCACTTGGGACATTTGCTGTTACGAATTGTGAAGCATGTTCCAGTGGTACTTGGAACAGTGTAATGCAGCAACATAATGTTATGTCCAAGAAGAGAGGTGCAGGGAGCAGTTGGGGAAAAAATGTAAATGAGTGTGGCAAGGCAGCTGTATGCAACAAGGAAAAGAACAGCTTTGAATCCTGCTGTCTTGTACAATGCTTAGCCAATTTCCCAGGAACTTTCTTGAAGATCATCTCACAGAGATCTAGTCCCTTGTCCTTCTAAAACTACTTTGTTCTTCCCTCATTGAACTGCCTGTGGCATATAGGGTTTAGAAGATCTGAGTTTTACCCACTGGAAATCAAGTTCAAAATGCATTGATTTTGAGCAAAGAAGGCTTTCTTCTGCAGTGCAATGATAGCATGCTGTGCACTGTTAACTCACTTTAGGTGATGGTTATTATTCTGGAGTTATGGAAAAAAAAAATGCAAAGCAGCTAGCATTCTACTGTGTCTCTGATGGAAACATATCATGCCCAGTAAATCAGCGTGGACATCTGAAATGCTAGGTGTGCTAGGTTAACCTCAATGATAGCAGTGCAGAAGAGGGAGGTTGATGCTTTTCCCACACAGTATTGTTCCAAGCCTGTCAAACTCCTGTATGATTTGACCTGTCTCAGATTGCTTTGTGATACAAGAGAACACACCCTCCCCAAGCAGAACCTGTTATTGAAACTTAGAGGACAAAGGTGAATTGTTGCCAGCATTGGGGGATTAAGGTAGTGGTTTCCATTACTGAAAAGTCATCTTAGTGAGTTCTGTGGTGACATAAGCTAGTTTATAAATACTGTGGAGGAACATATGCAACTAAAAGAAGTGTTTGGTGTTACTGTCTACTCTGTGCCTTTCCAACAGACAGCCTTTTTCCTGAGGCCATCAGAAAATCAAGAGACCTAGATTAAAATATTTAATCATGTTGAGTTCTTGCATCTGCTTAATTGCTCTAGCACCTTCAAGGGTTCCCATTTTTCTCAATCCATTTACAGGAATTCCTTTTTTAAAGCTAATGGGAGCTGACATATCTGACGTGATCTTAACAAAGAAAGCCTTGAAATGTCACTGGGGTTTTGATGAAGGTCTGACCCTTGACGACACTCACACAGTTTTCAGAAGCCACTGATAGCATGGTGTTGAAGAGCTTGACCTGCAGCCCATTTACATCAATGGATTTGTCACTGCATTTCATGGGCTTTGGTTCAGTCTCTAAAAATTCTCTTTCAGGTGTATGTGGATTCACCTCCATTTTGTGTGCCACCAGGAATATTCTTATGCACTCTAACAAATTTATTCATCATAAAACCACCGAATTGGAATTTTAAGCAAAGGTCATGGAATATTTGTAGCATACAATTTAAAGTTATAAATATATTGCATGTTCATGGCACTGTTACTTAGGAACAAGTTAGAGATCAGAATCCATCATGAAGGTAAATGAGGTAGATTAATACCTTTGCTGAATCGGTTCCAGATAATCATGAGACAGAAGCAGATTACAAAAATGTTGCTCACTTATGTTCTTAAGAAATCATCTAAAAAAGTTACTCTGTAAGAAACTCTGTGGGGAACACTTTGGTGTTAGGAGTTTTGCCTTTGAAGGGTCCCTAGCATTCTGGGTAATAGAGCTGCTAGAAAGGACTGTTACAACAGAGCTTCAGTGTAAGTTTGTAAACTCTGGAGCAAATCAAGCTACATAGAATCAGTTATGTTGGAAAAGGTCTTTAAGATCACTGAGTCCAACCATTAAACATGGAACAATCAGAAATTGCCAGAAGACACAAACTGAAAGTTGTCTTTTTTCTAAATCAATTAAAATAAAAGGAAAGGGGGGAAGAAAAAAAGAAGAGCAAAAGTAAGATTTTAGCCATGTGCTTCCTCAGCTAGCTGCATACATTGTGTCAGTGTTAGGCTGAAAAAAGTTACTGGTGATATAAAAAAAATACAGGTATGGCCTGTAGTTAGTTCTGACTTGAACTTGGTGGAAGCATATGTTTTAGGTGGAGACTTTATTTTGATTTTACATTACTTTAGCACACAAAATGGTGGGAGCAGTCTGCTGCCAACACGTAGCAGGAGCCCTCAACTCCTGCCTATGCCTGTGAAATAGTTCTCTGTGCTCATTAACAGTAACAACTACAAGCAAGACTTAGTTTTGACATTGTAGATACATCAGTATTATGCCAATCAAGGTCCAAAATCTTACACAACTTTAATATGAAATTTGGCATGATATGAATTTTGCTATGTTACTATGAAATGCAGAGATTCCTACATGCAGTGTTTGTTTGTTCATTTGTTTGTTGTTTTTTTCAATATGCCATCACAGGAATAATTGTCTGTGAACATCCTGGTCCTAAACTAATGGATGTTATTAAAGATGCTAATGCTAATTGTATCATACCATCCCATGAACTCTAGCACTGGGCTGTAAGAGTAAGTAGAAAATGAAATGAAGCAATTAGAAGGGGGTTACCTGTATCTGTTATCCTAGTGTGCCTTGATGTTCATATCTTTAAATTTTTGTAAAAATAGATATTAGATATGTTCACACTGTGTTATTTTGCTGATCTGAATAGAAGGAGATTTACACAGAATTGAATTACACAGAATTGAATTACAGAGTTGTTAGGAAGGACCAGGTCTTGCATGCCTCATGCAATGGGAGCATTCAGTGCAGTGGAACTTGTTTTGGCTACTGAAATGGATACAGGAGTAAAAGTCTGGAGGTAGTGGGCGTATGTCAGGGAGGATGCTTCTGCAAGCTGCAGAAGTGCTGGAGGAAGCGAACATATTATTTCTTATTTTAAGGGTACCTTAAAGATGTGGTACCACTGGTCTCCTCTTGCATCCCGCAGAAGTGCAGATTCTTAACAAATAGGTCCTGCATCAAAGGAACATGATGGGCAAGACTGTTAATGTTGTAATGGGCATATTGTACACTCAGGTAAGACCCCTTCTGATTACCTTATGATACTTATAGTTTTCTAAGAATGATGAGTTTATGAGGGATAAAGCTTATGTGTGACTCCCCTTCACCTTTCCCCAAAATTCCTGGTTCTTCTTCCAGCTTTTAGGCTATACATCTTACAGGGAAATTTAGTCTTCATCGCTTTCCTTCTTCTGGAGAGGGAAAGTATTCCACCCTTTCTTTTTTGAAAAAGTGAGGTCAAAGGTATAAATTCAGCCATTTCGTATAAGTTCTGTCAAACTTTGGACACTGTCTAAGTCTCCCGTTTGCTTTGTTCATTCTCTGAAGGATAATCCTGTCTCAGCAGAGGACTCCAGTCTGGGTGGCAGCAAACGCCTGAGCAAAAGCAATATTGACATCTCGGGAATTATGGAGGATGAGAAGCCACAGCAGATGTTGCCTAGGAAACAGAGTGACTCATCCACCTATGACTGTGATACCATATCCCAACATCATGCTTTCCTGTCCAGGTAACTAGTGTTTGATGCCTGAGTGAAAGAATTAGGCTGGACATTGGGTGGAGCCTGTCAGCACCAGAGCAACAGAATAATTTCTATTATTTGTGGTGTGTTTCTGAATGTTTGCTTAAAGTCCCTGGGTACTCCTTAAAGAGAACCATAGATATAGTGAGGCTAGTGTGAACTTAAAAGTGGTAATTTATTTAATCTTTATTCAGTTATGAGGATTTTAAATTCGCAAAACTGAATGCAAGCAATGCTGTTTCTTTAGCGCAGCCCGTACAAATCAAGATGGATGAGTGCTTTATAATTCTAGATTTCCATTATGTTTTTCTTGCTAAAGATCTCTCTAACTTCACTTACAAGCTTTCCATTATTCTGTAAAGAATGAGATAATTGCTTTAAGTGCTCCCGTTGGACTATGAGCTATTCAGATCAGCTTTAAAGCAAAAAAACCCACCCAGCCAACCAACCAACCAAAAAAAACCCCAGCAAACCCAAACCAAAACAACAACAAAAAAACTAACCAAAACCAACTGCATAAAGATTTGGCTTAAATGAGGAGGAGGCTGGGGAAGAGGAGTTAACTTTATTAGCTTTCCTGGATCCTAAGAAACCTCTGAAACACAGATTTTATGGGAATGCGAGCATTCCATTTGTCTCATAGTTTCTGTCTGTATTAAGCTCTTTTTACTTATCTGTATTCTTTTGTGCTTTTTGTCCTCTATCCATCATCTTATTTCCTTTACTTCACTGGGAGTGATGCAGAGGGAGAAGTCTTATTGTGTATTGAAGTTTCAGTTCTGCTACAGTTGAGTATAGTGCAACTTACTACTGTGCTTTACTTTGTCGGCGGTTTTGTTAGTAGCAGTTTAAAGTGATTTTATTTTCTTCCTTTGATTTAATGTAATTTGCTTTGCTTTTGTTGACTATTCTGCCCTTATTTTCAAACCATTGGGTTTTCAGGATATCATTATGTTGTCAAGTGTCTTCTTTCTGAGGCAGAATGGTTGTTTTTCACTTGTCTGTGACTGAAAACATGATTCTTTTTTTTGGTCAGTCATTTTTATGTTCTTGTATAGGTGTATTGTGTTATGTTTAAAGCACAGTGTTGGCAAGTACTTCAGACTTGGGGGATAAGAAGATAATTAAAAGACATAGTTTTCTTCCAAGCCTTTTTTCATTTCCCACATATATATACGGTTTTAAACTGAAAGCTTTACATGTAGCTGTATTTAAGCAAGCAGATACAACGCTGTTATCTTCCATTCGTATTTTGTACTCCTGAAACTTTAGGCTGTTGCTAAGTTATTGAGGAATAGTTGGACAACGACAGACTAAAGATGACTGAAAAAATTCCTTAGTGATGTAAAGAGGGGTGAGGGAGAGACACAAATCAAATGAAACCATGTTGTTCTCTGCCCCACCCTGTACGTAGAGAAAGATTCCAAGCCTTTCATTTCCTGTCTGTGAAACATGCATAAGATAGTTAAGACTTTTTTCCCTGTGAGCTCATTTACTGCAATTTAGAGGTGGTGCATCAGTGTGAGCAATGAGGTTACAAAGATAGCTCTCACCGAGAATGTCCTTGTCCTACGCACCGCGCTTGTGTTTCAATGTCTCAGCTTGGGCTTTTTGTTTGAGTGCTTTTGGCAAAGAGAGGTAACTCCCAACTACTGTGCCAGTCATGGATTTAGTTCTTGGCTTTCTTAGTTTCTGCCTTAAAGGGGCTCCTTTAAAGCTTGGTCCCCTGAGTTTCAGTTACTAACATCTGGTTAAAATTAAAATAAATTGAGAATGTCACTTGATTCTCAGATTGAAAGAAAGGCCTGTTGTCTTGGCCTGATCTGGGACCAGTCTTCAGGATTTCTGGATTCTGATCTGTACTTGGCCACTGATGCAGAGGGTTGTGTACAGAAAACTTATGAGGGCTTCAGTTACAGCTCTGGCTGGAGTTGACATCGTTTGCATATCTCAGCCAGGCTGTACATATTCTGGAGGCATGTTCTGCTTGATCTCTTAACTGGACAACAGGTATATATGCTACTGTTCTTCTTCTGAAAGCAGTTATTTAATCTCCAGCAGAACTAAATGAGGGCCTAGTGTCTGTGAGGGATAGGTGTCTATATTTACCTCATGCATATATGGCATACAAAGTAAATGAAAGTGTTTAAATCACTTAAAAGATCAGAAGCTGTCTATAAGCCTCACTAATTTTAACCTGTAATAAATAGCTGAAAAATAGTGAGATTCTAATTCATAGCTCAGGGAATGGATAGAACAACACTTTTTATGTCCCCATGTAACATACTTAATGACTGTAAATTTTAATACTATTGTCCTTATACGACTTGAGTATGTTAGAATTTCTAGCAGAAGTTTTGGAATAAGCTCACATAGAGCTGTACTGCTAGAAGGGAGGGGAGGTAAACATCAATATTCAGAGTCCTTGTGTAATTTACCATTAAGTATTTTGTAGAAAACTCTTGCATGTTGAAGGTAGTAAACTTACTGAGTACCTGCACTGGAAGTCATAAGTGGCTTCTATACTGCAATATCTATCTGCAGTTTAACGCATATTAGTTGGATCTAGATACAGATATTAGAGCTTTCTACGCAGCCTGTTTTGGGAATGTGTTTTTTTTTCTCTTCATTATTGTTGAATCAGTGCATTTTCTTTGCTCAGCATCCACTCGAGTGTGTTGAAAGATGGTACGGAGTTTCCTCCTGTGAATTCCAGTCTCTCAGAAGTAAATTTGGGCCGATTTGAATTTGAGGTGTCTGATTTCTTCCTCTTTGGATCGCCACTTGGTTTGGTGCTGGCCATGAGGAGTACTGTGCTGCCTGGCCTGGATGGTAAGATTTTTCTGGGATTAGAATATAGACTGCTTAATGACCTTTTTAAACAGAGACTCGTATAAAAGGGGGTAAATAAAGGAGCATAGTTAAAGACTGGGGAGTGAGGTAAGTTTTTTCCTCTAAAAGGTGGGAGTGTTGGTGTAGGTAAGTACTGAGGTTATGAGGGTTGATCTAGGGCTGTCACTGCTCACCCATTTACAGTACTGTGTCTTTTGCTCTGCTGTTGATCGTATATTACATGCCATACAACATAAAGCTTACCCTTCACCAAGCATCCGTTTTTGAAGAAGATAATATCTGTGTGTGGTTCAGCATTGTATCTTGTGCACCTCTGGCTTCATGGGTAAATTTGGTTGTGAGCCATTTTTTCGTCTCTGGTAATGGAGCCTAGTGATCAGACACATACAGGATTTTTTTTTTTCTTTATTTCTGAATGCATCTGGATCTTTTCAGTTTTTCAGTTAAAGGAAGAGCTTACTTTGCTTTTCAAAATTTAGTGTGTGTTTTGCCTCTTGGCATTTTATGGTGTTTGGATAGCACGGCATCTTCGTAGGAAATAATATGTTCATTTATCAGATGAGGGAGAAAAATCGATTGCAATAGTGAGAAGAGACAGTAATTCAGGATTCCAAATATTTTTCTTCTCAATTGGTAGACTTTTGAGTAATGCCATTTGACTGAGCTTTAAAAGTCACATTTGATCAATTGCAGGGATAAAGCAGAACGTAATCTAAACTGAAAATTATTTTACCTACCAGAATTTAAAAAATGACCAGACCCATGTCTTTCAGAGCCTTTACATATCTGATCGGAATTTCTTTTTTTTTTACAACAAGTTTCATGGACTTACAAGAGCATAAACAATCTCCCATTTTGTGTTTCATTCCTCATATTTGCAGTATTCAGTTTTGTTCAAGAAAAAACAAAACAAACCCAAAACATGCAAACCCAAAACTCAGCTAAAAAGAATGGAAATTTCTATATATTTTTCCCACAAACTAAGGCTTTTTGTTTCTCTGAAACAGCTGTCAGGGAAATGAGCAAAAATTATGTAGGCGATGGCCAGCTTTGAAAACTGCACCACAATTTGATTTTCTCTACTGGGGATTTCTTTACAAGATTATCAACATTTCCCTCTGAAGATGATGGTGGTTTTGCTGGAGGGGTTGGGGCAGGGAGTTTAGTTTTTTTTTCCTAGGGCTTCATGTGGAAAAAATCTAACAGTATTAATTTGCATGCATGGGTTCAAATTCTTTGGGCTAGAATTTGTATTTTTGCAAGATGTTGTTTCCATTTAATGACTCAGAATGGACATGTTTACTGTGGAACCAGTATCACCTTTTAGTCTTTGATGATAAATACTGATTAGCGGATGCCAGTTACTGCACAGTAAGTAGAAAATCCTGGCAGTGTTTGGTACAAGAGTTCCTCAGTTGCAGACATGGACACATCCCTTCGTGTAGACAGTGGTGCCTGCCAGCAGTTGAGTGTGTGTGGTAAGTCCTCCCTTCATCCTTCTCTTGGGATTAGGTAGAAATGGATGGCAAATTTCAACACTTAAATACTTCACTGAACTGGGGATTGTATGTTTCTGAATTCTCCAGTCAATGGTCCTTTCCTCAGTCTCAGCTCTGGTACCCTCCAGACACTTTGACAGGAAATTTTCACGTGAATTAGTATTATTTTAAACTGTTTTGTTCAAATTAGCTCTCGCTTCCATCCTACCTCTGCTGTCCTGCAGGGAGCATACTTTGAGAGCAGCTCAACTGACCAACATTTCAAAGACGTTCCAAGGTGAGCAGAGTCAACGGGAAGCATAATTAGTTTTTAGAAGTACATATAATAAAGTCCCCTTTTAAAGTGGTAATTATGGCACAATTGAGAGGAAAACAGACAAGTTGAAATTATCATGCAGTCAGTTGGAAGTTGGGTGAGAAGAATCAGGTGCCCGTTTATTGAAGTGAATGCTAGAAAGCTACCTGGAAATTTGAGAAATAAAATTCAGGATGTTTATTTATTTTGTTAGAATTAGTTTTTTAAATATAAGGCAAGAAAATTATATCCAGAGGTTTGCCTGTTCTCTCTGCTGACCAGTTGCATTTTGTCATGTTTTGCTTTCTGAATATTTATCTTTACTCTAATAAGAGTGTGACTAAAACCAAATCTTCATTCCAATTTTTTTATTTTGTTGCCAAATACCTTTTAATTCTCTTATATTGAAATTCTGTTGGTCCCTTAGTGCTTCCTTGACAATTCTTCTAGTTACTCCCTAGCACTCTCTTCTGTGGTCCTCTCACTGTCCAGTCTCCATTCTCCTTTTCTAAAGTACTAATAATTTATGTGTCTCTGCCAGATTCTTCCACTCTGTGTGCTGATTATCCGTGGAAGAGCCTCACTACCCTATAAAAATGTCAATGATTTTTAGAATTCAGAATATATCATGAGCATTTAGTTAGATCCACAAAGTGGCACTGTTCTACCTCAGAATGGTTATAATGGGCAAGTGTTTCCACCTGCTCTCAATGGGAACTAATGATGTTAAATGCCACAGTAGTGGGAGGTAGTCTCCTTTAGAACATGATGTGCTATATTCCTTTGCCAGTTTGGGAGAGGGATATGAAAAGAGCTGATAAGTCAGAGGACATGCTTTCTTGTTGCAACTAGATATCATGATTTGCCCAATGCTGACAACTTTCATAACCCTGCTGTTTGCATTCCTGTCTTTCTTTGTCTCTGTCTGCCTTCTGTGCATATCCAGAAAATGTTTCTGTACAAAAAGTATTAGAAGGTGCAATTAGGCAGTTGTTTTAATTACATTAAGCACTTCCTTTATGTTTGGCTCTGACAGGTAATATCAAGCATGACAAGAAAGAAAGAATCAACTAATATACTACCAACTAAGGAAGGAAGCTCTAGTTTGGTGGGATAATACCCAGTTGACTGCTCTGCTTTGTACACACTAGATCCCTAAATACATGCATCAAAGTTACAAGCTTACCAAAATATAGTTTTAATTAAAATGCAGTGCAGTGCTTTACCTCACAGAAGGTATTTCACACTGCTTAGACTCTACAAAAGAATTATGCTTTACTTGGAAAGAACTAATTTCTGCTATGCTTAAATACTCTCACACAGATGACTTGTTTCCATTTTTTTCTGGCAAATACTAAGAATGAAATACAGCCTGAAGAAAGCTGTCAAAGGTAGTCTTGGATCTTTGCAGTCTAACTGGTGTTTACCTTCTGCTTCTCCTGTAGTGCAATTAATTGGAATACACAGGAGAATTTACTCAGATTCCGTGGCATAATACACTGATGGGCATATTTTTACCCTACTTGGAGAATATGTTAAGAAAAAAGTGTACTTGATAGTGGTTCTGAGAGAACTGTAGAGAGGTACTTCACAGAAGAATCTCACAGGCCATAGTTTTTGCGTATGGCTGGCTTAATGGTGGGAAGGGGAGGAAGGTGGCATAAAGCTCCTATTTATTTGATAGTGGGAAAGGGAAAAGATTCTGTGGTGTCCTCAACAGGCAGTCTTACTATGTCCCACTTTCTTTTCATCTGCTGCCAAGTGTACTGACTGATGTACAGAGATATCCTTGTTAGAGAAAGTAACATACAACAGACATCAAAAGTAGATTTTGGTTATTCTAGAGCTGGGTACCTGGTAATTCCCACTGATAACAGTCATGAAACAACAATAACAGTCTTGAAATGCTTTAAAAAGAGAGCTTGGGAGGAGAAAAAAAACAAGCCACAAAGCTTCACTTAATGCCTCCAAAGACATTTGTCACAAAAATCCTATGGAATTAAAGAGATGTTGCACCATCCTCAGAGTGGGTGAGTGAATACAAAATACAATGCACGCTGCATGTCCAAAGAAGAAAAAAAGTTCATGTTTTGGCAGATCTGGATCATAAATAAGTATATTCTTATTGGAAGATTTGTCCCAGCTAATTTCTTGAGAGGCCATGAGTATTGACAGCTTCATGACACAGAGAGAAGTCTAGACAGACTTGTGTGACAGAGTGCGTGCAGTAGAGTCGTGCCCATGGATGTGATTCATCATCATACTCTTGAGAAGATTTTTTTCTGTGATCAATAAAAGGTTAATTGTCTTACTAGCTACAGAAAAAAACTTTGTGTACCTGTGCTGTAACCTTTACAGAAAAAAAAATTCATATAGAATAGAACAATCAAAAAAGGATTGTTCTGACCTGCTTATGGCAATTCTACTATTACAACTGAGTGTCAATGATGTAAGCTTAGAATTTGGCAACATCCACATAGTCTATATCAAGATTTGTCCCTATATACCATTAATAGCAGCAAACACCATAATTTATATAATAAGAACATAAATTTTTAGAGTCTTTCCAGCAACATGGAAAGCACTTGAGTAGACCTGTAAGAATATAATATTTTCTGATATAGCTCCTAGGGACTGTTTGTGACTCCAGCAGAGGAAGACGTACACCATAAGTTTGCTCATTGTGGTTTTGCTTATGTACAAATACCTTGACTGAGGCTCTTGAAAATGAGAAAGAATCTAAGTAGTGTAGTTTTGGTTTTGTTCAGGTTTTTGGTGTGGTTTTTTTTTATGCTGGTTTTTTTTTTTTTTTTAAAATTCCAAGATGAGCACTCTGGTGACAGATGTCACTTAAGGTAGACCCCATTAGATCTAATGTTCCATGACAACTTATATTACAACTCTTAGCATCTTTCTTCATGGTTTCCAGTTAAGTGTGTGTTTGGCTTGTGCATGGCAACAACGCTGTGCCACATATGTCTTCTAAGGAGAAATACCATACACATTACCCTGGCTTTGTTATTGCCACAAGGTAACAGTCATTCTATCAAAAGAACATTTAGGTTTTACTGTATAGCACAGCAGGTTTTGAAAACATCTTCTTTGCATGGAGTTCCTAGGGAGCAGGCATAATATTGCCATACATATTTTAAAATACTTCTGTCATTCCTTTACTCTTGTAGTTAATAAACTGACTGTTGTAACATGTAATGCAGTACTGTAGGAACCACACTAAGTTTAATGAGCCTATAATGAATTCATTTGCTCACGCTGGCAAGATTCAATGTGACTGAAGTGTGGTGAGAAGTAACTACACCAAACATTTTACAGACCTTGGCAGTTTCATGTGATCGCCCATCTAAGTTATGCTTTGTGGCTGTGTGTTTAGTCAGAAGAATGCCTTATTTGCTGAGTAAGTGATTTTCAGATTTGCATTTATAGTTACAGCCCAGAAACCTCAGGGGCTGCACACCTTGCAAGAATGATGAACATTGTTTTGCTGTTGTAGTATGACCGATCTCATTTCTATACATTAGCTTCCATGAGGTGACTTCAGAAACTGCAGTGCTTTCTGTTGCCTGCCTGCTGTCACCTGGTTAAGTCCTCTGGATTTAACAGGTCCATCAAGCCATTTTGCTGGTAAATATTTGAAGTGCTGAGCATTGTAGCTGTAATGCTTAATAACATATTTACAACAACTTTTTCTTTCCTTACCTCTATTTGTCGGCTGGTCTTCATGTCTGCTACGTGTGTGCACCTCAGATTCTAAACTGTTACAGCAGTGTTCTTTACACATGGAATAGCAAACAATTTAGCTAAATTTCTTGTGGCCAGATGCGTGCTAGTCTGGAGTTTGGAGAACACCATATTAACCATGCTTCTGTATAAACTCCTTGAAAATTTTAAAGGGACAATACTGACCTGTCTTTCTCATTCTCATCCAAGTGTGCCAGGTCCGCCCAGCCTGCAGCCAAGTGTACAGTTTCTTTCACTCTGCTGACCCCTCTGCCTGCAGACTTGAACCATTACTGGAGAAAAGATTCCATCTCCTGCCTCCATTCAGTGTCCCACGGTACCAGAGATACCCACTAGGGGATGGAAGATCTCATCAGTTAGGTACAGTGCCTATTTTCATAGCTTTCCTTACCTGTTTTTCTCTTAAGCATTCTCTCCTTGCACAGCTCAAGAAGATTTGAAATATCAATGTGCTAAAAAGAAGTCATCTGCGACAGAGCAGCACAAACATATTTAGCCAGTGTGGAACCAAGAAGATTACTGAGAAAAAATGATTCTTTGTGATACTAGTTGTGTTAAAGAGGGGTTGGAAGGTGATACGCTACTGCTTTAGCTGAACTGTCACTTCCAAACATCCATGTCTTTGACTATCATTTTAAACAATTTACTTTTACAATTAGTTTGCCTTTGCCTAGATCTTCAGATACTGTTTCTCTTGGTCACTTGTGGTTGGTTTTTTGCAGATATCTACTAGGACAAATAAGAGCAGTGGGCAAATAGCCTTTTGATTGCTCTTTTCCTAGGTAAGCTACTAAACAATAGTTACACTGAGGTAATAAATGTTTGAATCCAAGAAAAAGCAAAAATGGCCTGATTTCTGGGAAGGAAGAAGACACAGATAAGCAAGGTGTTACCAGAAGGAATTGTGCTGTTTTGACTTTGTAGAAAATGAGATAAAATCACATAGGTGTGACTTGACTTGTAATACTGTGAAAAAAAGAAAAGGAAATTTATCAGTGTGCATCTGTACATGCATGCACATTAGATTGATTCTTTTTGCTACAAATTCAGACATGAATTCAAGCCTTAACGGACTGTTTCAAAAGGCTTTTCAGGATTCAGAGTTTAAGGTTGGAGGCTAGTATAAGTAAAATGTCAATGTTTTCTGTTTGTTGGCGCTAGGAGAATCACATGATTGGAAATCTGTTCTGTACAGTAGTATACACACAACTTTGTTCTATCTGCTCAAGCATGGTGTACATTGGATACAAATCAGTTTGAATGTGATTAAATCAATGTTGGAAAAGCAACAGTTGGATCTTGAGTTGCAGATGGTTGGCTTCTAGATGTTTGCTTCACTGAAACGTGAAGATCTGACTGCTCCTCAGGAACTGACTTAAGGAATGGCTAAGGTGAGAGACAATCCAAACTAGGGAATATGTGCTCTCTCCTCACCCCTGTGTGTAAGTTTTCTTTCAATGGAAACACATACCCTGCTTTGCATTCTGTCTTACAAAGCCAGACTGTGCACTTGGAAATCCTGCTGGTTAATTAGGCACAAAATCTGTCACTAAGACCTATCTAAGACTACCTTGAAAAGTAGAAACCCCCTGTAAATAACTGTCATAGGAAGAATAGTTCCCTTAAGCTGCTTTTCAAGTTGAAAACCTAGCATTGGTACAATTTTTCAGCTTTGTTGTTTTAAAGTAAACCCTTCATATACAGTGATTATTTAATCCTGAGTGCTGATGATCAGTAAATGTTCCATGGTATGGCTTTGTATTTAGACCTCTGTGCAGAATTAAATCTTTGCCGTGCTTTACACCTAAGCTGCGTTGTATTTCAGTGAATCTGAAATCCTCCCATTTAAGTGCAAGTGTTTTGTAATCCTTTTGGAATTTAAGGTTCTTCATTTACAAAAAATTAATTCTACTAACTATATGGTTTTTCTTTCTCCTTTCTCTGATACCTGGGCCTTTGTGGTGTCAACAGGAATGGCAATTTATTAATCAGTTGTGATGAGACCTAGTTACACCAAACTGTAGTTATTATGTACTGCCCAAAACATTTTTTTTTTTTTTTATAATATTTCATGTCATTAAACAATCTTATTCCTTGTTCCTTTTCTCACAGGAACTCATGGTTAAAGTAAGAAGATTCTGTTCTCAGCCTGATAGGTGTCTCTGTTTTCTGACAAAAAAAAAAAAACAATCTGATCTGCAAGCTGCAGTAAAAAAACCCTAACTACTAGATGAGAATTTCACTGTATGATTCAAAGGAATGGTTCAGTAATAACACAGTCTGGAGAACATAAGGAAAATGGGGCAGGGGGGGAGAATTACTGTAGCTGACTTACAGTTCTTGACAATCAAGTGAAGCTCTATGAGCCAGTTGCTCTTTGCATAGGGTATATCTTGAAGCTTTTGGTTTATCAAATTTACATTTTCCATTGAGAGTCAAGAAACATCTAACACTCTAGTGACAGGGCTTAAAGAGCAAGGGCAGAAGTTGATCCAGACAGTTGGCTTTTGCATCCAGGAGGCAGCAATATTTACCACTAAGTGTGCCTCTAGGGTCACTCACTTTGTAGTAATGTGGTATTTATTTGTGTACATGGTGGATAAATCTATTAAGAGCTTAACGATGATGAAAGCTGACTCTTACCAGGCTTCCTTTTGACGATCACGGAGACTTGACTAGCCCAGAACTCTCTTCCGTTGGCTACTTGGTCCAATGCAACTGTGTCACCTGTTCATACAATTCCTCATGTGGATGTGATGACATTATTAGGCTATTGATAAAATAGCTTAATAAAATAAAATTATTTAAGGCATGATTTAAATTCAGTTCTCTGAATGTGTATGAGAGTCAACACGTCATATGCAAAGTGAAAGAAAAGTTAGCAAAGATTAAGTTTAATATCTGAGATATATTTGTCAAGTCCACTGGATAGATAGAATTAAAATAACCACCTAAGGCATCACACTTTTTCAGAAGTCCCCTCTTAAGGGGGTGTTTATCTTGTGTTGCTGTGATATACAGACAAGTGAAAGAAGCTGCACTGAAAGCACTGCCAGCCAGGCAGGGCAGGTGGAGGAGTGTTTATTTTCATACCTCTTCCATCTCAGGTGGTTGTTGAAGAAGACATAGCAGTCGATAATGGTTCAGAAAAAAGTGCAATTTATTAATTGGTGGGGTATTTTTTGTTTACTATAAGGCCAAGGTGCAAAGTTCAAGGTAACAAGGTTATGTTACAGGCCAGAGAAACCCATCTTTCATTAAACCTTTTTTTCAGTTGCTGCCTAGCTGACATTTCATAATCCAAGTGGTTTCATAGCTGTTACACATGAGCCGTAGCTTAGCAGCAGGTCTTGGATCAACCACCAGTCATATCTTTTGACAATCACTAATGTGGGATTTAATTGCTTTTTTTGCTTTGCTGCTTATGACATGATGCATTATGTCTGCCTGATGGTTAAAAATACAGTTGTTATCTATTAATTCAAAACACTTGGTTTCAGCCAAAATACTTTTTGGATATTTGACACAGAAGAACATAGATAAACATAATCCTCTTTTCTGTTTGAGCTTCTACCTCTCATTTTACTTTGCAACACAACTGAAATAATTTCAAAATTTTTCTCCTGCAAATTTTTAGTTATAAGGAATGTGCAGGAGTGTCAGTTGAGACTATGGCTCATCCAACTGGTCTGCTTCATTATGGATTGATAGAAATTAAGGTCTAAAAACACATTACTTCTCCAGCTGAATATGCATAAAGTAAAGTATTGCTAATTTTGGCTGGAGCTGATTACCCTGTGGCCTTCAGGGAGCTGCTTTGCCTCTTTATATTGACTGTAACTATCATAATTATCCAAGATAAGACTCTATAAAATGATCTACCTTTATTTATTATCAAGTATGATAGTAAATTTGGGTTAGTAGGATGAATGATAAGAACTTTTAATGACCCTCAGAGCCATGAGGAAGGTTGTTTTGGGTGGAAGTATCTGTTTCAGTGGTTTAAGTGGAAGAACTATGCAAGTAGAGTGCCCCAGTCAAAAACTGAGCACAGAGCTTTTAGAAAAAAACAGTATTACTTTTATTTTATTAATCTCTAACCAATGCTCTCTGTCCTCCTTTACAATTCAACAAAGATCTGACCTACAGTGATGAAGACAATCTGTCCTACCTGTTTAAAATAAAGCTAATTCAGGAAATGGGAGAGAAAAAACTGGCAAAACCACCTTCCATTTTATTGATTTGATCTCTTCCTAGGGAGAAGGGTTACTGATCTTAGAATAACAGTATTACAAAATAAACAACAGTTTTAAAAGGCACTAGGCTCTTTACCAAGCTGGTCTTAAGCTAAGTCAATAATATGGAAAAGGCTAACAGGTATGTTGGCTGACAGTATGTTTTCTATTCTGTGCAAAGTTACTATTTTTACTTCTCTCCCCATCTCCATTTTAGTGGGAATGAAAAAACAAAACTCTTGAAAAATTGTAATGGGGAAGGAAGGATTAGATTAGAGGTAATTTATGATGTTCTTAGCAGACCAACAACAATTCAGAAGCAAGAAATTTATTTTAGAAGCATAACTTTTTTTTTTCAATGAATCTTCTGAAAGGCGAGACAGACAGTATGCATCAGAACTCTGCCATTATGAGCACTTCATGCAGATAGAACTCTCGTTTATGGGATTTGTTGCACCTTCTTCTCTGGAATGTCCTGTTGGGGTTTGGATCGGGGATCTGGTTCAGACAGACTGCTAATGATGTGCAGTTTGGCATCTTCCCTCTTCCTTACTGCTTATGTCCATGGATTCTGCTACTCTCCTCAGCGAGCTGATTTGCTCTTATATTTTAGGCCATGTGATTTGGAGTTTGTTGTCAGAAGGATCAGGTACCTTGCTATTCATATGACATAGAATCAAACTTTTTACTCCTTTGTGCTGCTTCTTTCACTACATAGCGCATATAATACTTCCTTGTCTTGTGAGGTAAGTAATGAATAAGCAGCATTGTATTTCAGTTGCCTGCATTGGAGTCTATCTAGTTTGCCTTCGACAAAGAAAGTAAAAAAAAAAATAAATTCCTTCCATTCTTTTCACCTTCATCAAGCTTTCCTGTAGCCACACATAGCTCTCCCTACTGTATAGCATCAACAAGATTCGTTTGAAAGGATACATTGCAGTTTCTTTAATGAATACTCAAAGCACATGTTCCCATGGAAACTGCAAGTGAACATATTCTGTCCATCACAAAGTGTTAGAATTTAATTGTTCCTCTGATTCAGTTGCAGGGCAACTCTTTGTCTTGACTCATGCAGCTGAGATACTCAGGCTTATGTCAAAACAAGCCAGAATTTTTTTAGCCACATCTGCTTTTTGCAAGGAAGGAGACTGTAGGGAGCGATGCTCCTGTTCCTCTTTCATTTAATGGTGACATCTTTTACCTGTTCTGATAATCTATAGGCATGCTTCCAGTGTATCGTTTTAAGGAATTATGTCCTTGAAAGCAGCAACATGTTGTTGGGTTCTGTGCACCCTTGAGATATTCATGGCATTGAGAGTTAAGAAGACTGGAAAAGTTGAAGAGAAAATTACTCTAGGCCTCCGCTGCCTAAAAAAATGTATGAGAGTCCCCAGCCCAAGACCATGTGATAGATGAGCACAGCATGATTACAGTTACTTGTCAGAATGGGACTGAAATACACTCAGGAATAGCAGAATACATTATCAAGGGTTGTCTGTTTTCTTTTGTAATATGTGCATTGAACTAGTTTTTCTTTTATTTACTGTTTTAACCCCTCTCCAAGAGATTTGTTCTCTGAAAAAAACAACACTGAGTCATCAGCTGCTTTTGATATGCACTTTGTTGTATATCCTATCTCTCAGCTGAGGTTCCATCTTTCCTAAGTACTGGAGGGATGTGCAAGCTCCTTTGAGCAGAATTATCAGTAATGCTTTTTATTTAAATGTATGTCTATTCTTACATGTTTCAGAATACCTCAGGAGCAAGCCTATGTTTTGTTTCATTGAGTAGAGGTGTTAGCCATGGCCCATAGCTTTATCAGAGTGGCATGGAATAAATAAGAATTGTGTTGTATTTGGGAATATGCAAACCAGTAGATAGCCTTGCTCAAAGTTATTTCCAGAGTCATTTTATTCGTGTCAGGAAGAGGACAAGAGAAGTATCATAGACTCCGAGGCCTGTATAGCTCTTCCTAGAGAATTACTTTTAAATGGACAGAGTTGAGAAGTAGGGTGTGCTTTCTCTATTTAGTCATGCTGTCTTATGCCATCATCCTCACTCTGAAGGAGTTTCATCCATTAAGTCATTAAATCTGCTGTTATTCAGGAAAACACTTATTAGTTCTGTGTTAAAAACAAATACATACACACACACTCATTAGTTTCAAAGCCATGCTTTTCATCCCTTTGTCTTTTTAAAAATTGTTTTAATTTCTGTAACCTGCAGGTGATGCTATCCACAACCACAGTGCTCTGTTCCTTGAGAACAGCTCTTTGAACATACCCTTCTCTCGGGAGAGTCCTGGATCTCCAAATGCATCTGATCAACCACAAGGAAAAACAAGAAAGTTGAGCTTGGCCAGCACAAACAGTGAAAACTCAGGATCAACTGAAAGCTTGCCATCAGCGTACCTTGCCAACAGTGAGTGAAGCCTGGTGCCATGTGCTGTTTGATATGGCAACAATCCTTCCTTCCACATCCTTTCTGTGGAAAAGTTTGTTATGAAAAGGAAGAATAGCTTCTTGGAAGTGTGGCAAGAATGAGAACAGCTTAAGTTGCTGCAATTTTAAATAACACAATTTAGCTTCCTCCTCTCTTTGTAATTAAGTAGGTAAAGTAATAGAAGTGAAGTCCCGGTTTTATATCAAGGTGCCACTCATAAATAGTCATTAAGGTTTCATACTAACTGGGATTTAGAAGCATGTTACTTGCATGAAGGAATATAGACAAATAAGATTTGTTACCCGTGATTAAAAGTGCTATAAATCATAATATTGCCCTGTTCTGGACCATAGTCATCTATCAATGCTCCATTCATTATTTGGGAAGCATTTGCAATTCTTCTTGTATAACATGGTTGTAAAAGTACTAGACTTTCTCTGTACATTTTCCGTGGACCAGGAAGCAATGTGAATCATGCTGAGGTGATTTCTGCTTCCAAAACTTTGGACCCAAAAGAACTGTTTAGATTGCAGACATTTAAGTGATGATGCAGTCTATGAAAACAGTACTTTTGTGTTTGATGGATACCTTTACCAGACTCTAGATGTCAAAATTAAAAAAGCAGAAGACTTCATACAATTATTTAGCTTAAACATAAAGACAGCAAAACATTTATTATGAAGATATCTTATAGAAATGTGATGCTGTTTTGTTTTTGGTTTTTTTGTAGTTACTGCAAAATGGTGGGGAACAAAACGAATAGATTATGCCTTGTATTGTCCAGATGTGCTGACAGCCTTTCCAACTGTGGCCCTGCCACACCTCTTCCATGCCAGCTACTGGGAATCAACAGATGTTGTGGCCTTCATTTTAAGACAGGTCACTGATCTCTTTATGTTTGTTTTTTTTTCTCTGCAATTAATAACGTTGTGACTGTTAATTGCATCTTCCAGGGTTGATCAGTCTTTTGATCTTTAGTTCAGTTATATGGCTAACTGTGATTGCATCACTTATGTGACTGGGTATAGACTGACAGTGAACCCACCCTTAGCCCTGCTAGCTGGTGTTCTTACTGCTGCCTGTGACTGGGAACAATGCACTGTCGGACATACCCTTACTTATCCCTCCCATACCCCAGATCACTAGAACCCTGTATTATGTATTAATTTCCTTGTTTTCAAAGGAGTAGGCTATCTCCTGCCTTAATTATGTATTTCCCTACTAAATACCAAATTATTAGCATACATTTGATGATAAAGCAGCAGTTTGAAAGCACTGCTCCCATAAGAAAATTAAATTTCTCCTGTAACTGTACTAGAGTGTTTTGAGGCATTTTGTGCAGTTTCCTAAGAATTCATTTCTGAGTCAAATGATGGGTCTCTTGTTCCTACTGTGTCAGTAATTAAACAGCAGCTCACAGTGACTTAGGGATAATGCAGTGCTCTAGCCTCTATAGAGAGTGGTGAGGCTGAGAAATCTCACCTGGAGTAAAAAGAAAATAAAAATTAGTGGTGTTTAATTGAAACATGCAGGATGTGTCCCTCCAGGAAACCAAAGTGACCCTCACCCAAAAGCCAATCACAAGCAGTTTAATTTGGATTAACCCAAGAGTCAGTGTATTTTTTTATATCCAGGGAATGATAGAAGAGCTGCTGCCAGGCCAACAGGAGACACAGTGATGCAGAAGGCTGCACAGTGGCTTTTTTCCTTGAGCTGGTTGGCAGACGTCAGTGTGCTTGCCTGTCTTGCAGCTCCTTTTAGCTGGCATCTGAGTGTTAACTCCCTCTACCTTCTGCTCCCAGTGCTGGTGTCAGTAATGTTAGTTCCCCAGAGGCTCACCTGGTAGCTCCAGGGAATGGAAGCTCAGCAGCAAAGTTCCCTGCACTCCAGAGCTGCTGCTGAGTCATCCTGTGCAGTGGTGCTGAGCCCTCATCGTTACAGAGCAGCCTGTGAGGGGAGTGTGCAGCAGACAATCCATCTGGTAACCAGACCACTTGTGGAGTTTCTGATTGCTGTTCTCAACTGATGGAATTCAAAGAGTCCTTCAACCTCTTCCTGTCCTTTCAGGGCATCTGTTAGTATATCTGATTCCAGTCAAAATGTATGATTAAGCAATGCAGACTTTTAAAACCTACTTTAAAAAACTTTGTTTATAATAAGCATCACCTTAAGGCAAAGCAAAAGTTGCTGAAGAATTTTTCCACTAACAAGTACACGCTCCAAAACAGGAATATTATTTAATGCTCATCCCAAAGTAGAGGAGGGGTTTCTACTGGAAGCAACAGGATGCAAATCTCTGTTGAAGGGCCCTATGTAATTGTGCATAGATGTTTCTCCTCTCCTTTGCAGCTGTCTTAGAGCTCTTGTCATCTGGTCTTCTCTCTCAGGACGTTTTTTGCCTTGACTCCATCAGACCACTCTCTGATCTTTCCTTTCAAATGCCTCCCTGAGGCCAGTTGCCTGTTAGCAGTCATTCCTACTGTATTCGACTTGTCATTTCTGTGTGGTCATATTCAATTGCATCATTGTGCCTTAGCTAGTCTTGTACATGCATTATAGCTTTTAGAATTCAATAGGCCCTTCAAGCATCTGGAATGTGCTGCAAAGCAATATGTGAGCTTACAGCACTACCTAAAGACTGTTTAATTCCGGAATAGTCTGGACATTCTGCCATTGCTAGGGGTTAAGGTTAAGGCTTTGGCTCCTGAATACCCCATGAGCACATATATTTCCTGCTCATAACCTTCAGTGAACAGAATTTATGCCTATTTGTTAAAAAAAAAAACAAAAACAAAAACATACAAACACTGACCTCTCCACGCTACTGTGATTTGTTACAAGCCAACTCCTTTGCTAAGGCTGAATGCAGACCATTTTACTCAAGGAACTTCATATGAGATACCTTTCCAAATAATTCTAGGCCCCTCTTCCAAAGAAGGCAAGCAAGGTGGAAAACTTCAGAGCACAAAACCCACTGTTCAACTTCAGTAATTTTCTGCTGTCTTATGGAAGAGACATACTAAGGTATTTATAATTCAGAATGGAGCAGACTCGCACTATCCGTGATCCCAAGCCACAGATTTTAGTAAAACAGGGCTTGTACTTTCAAATGAAACTGGACATGACCCACAAATCCTGAAATCTGTGGGTTGTGTCCTGAAATCCAAGTTGGACAAGCAAGTTCCATCGAATCACAGAACAGCTTAGGTTGGAAG